TAGTAGTGTCTGTTTGTATAATGCAGTATTGGAGTGTGTTGAGGTGTGTATAATGGAGTATTGGAGTAGTGTTGAGGTGTGTATAATGGAGTATTGGAGTAGTGTTGAGATGTGTATAATGGAGTATTGGAGTAATGTCGAATCGTCCTGGTATAATGGAATAGGGTTGAGGTGTGTATAATGGAGTAGTGTTGAGGTGTGCATAATGGGGTATTGGAGTAGTGTTGAGGTGTGTATAACTGAGTACTGGAGTAGTGTTGACGTGTGTATAGTGGGGTATTGGAGTAGTGTTGAGGTGTGTATAATGGAGTATTGGAGTAGTGTTGAGGTGTGTATAATGGAGTATTGGAGTAGTGTTGAGCTGTGTATAATGCAGTATTGGAGTAGTGTTGAGGTGTGTATAACTGAGTACTGGAGTAGTGTTGACGTGTGTATAGTGGGGTATTGGAGTAGTGTTGAGGTGTGTATAATGGAGTATTGGAGTAGTGTTGAGCTGTGTATAATGCAGTATTGGAGTAGTGTTGAGGTGTGTATAATGGAGTATTGGAGTTGTGTTGAGGTTTCTATATAATGGAGTATTGGAGTAATGTTGAGTCTTGGTATAATGGATTGGGTTGAGGTGTTTATAATGTAATATTGTAGTGTTGAGGTGTGTATAATGGAGTAGTGTTGAGGTGTGTATAATGGGGTACTGGAGTAGTGTTGAGCCCTGGTTTAATAGATGGCGGCGCCGGAAGATGACGTCGTCATGGTGCGCAAGGGAGCGTAAGAGGAAACCGTTACGGTTGTCATGCCCTGATGGCGGCACTGGTGGTCTGTGGTCACCACCTGCAGAACCACTCCTTTATTGGGGGTGTCTTGCTAATTGCTATAATTTCCACCTGTTGTCTATCCCATTTGTACAACAGCATGTGAAATTGATTGTCACTCAGTGTTGCTTCCTAAGTGGACAGTTTGATTTCACAGAAGTGTGATTGACTTGGAGTTACATTGTGTTGTTTAAGTGTTCCCTTTATTTTTTTGAGCAGTGCATATTGGTGTTATTACCTGTCTTCCCCTATATCTTATTATTAAATATCCCCCAGTGTCTCTTTTTTGGGATGATTTTTACATATCTTTATTGAACTCCTCCTGGTCATATGTAGGTAGCATATTGAATCCAGATAGACATAAGCATTGAGATGTAATACCATCCTATATAATTAATTAACAAGGGGCTTTGGTTCAACAGGTGTAACATATTGGCCAGAGGATAATAAAGTCTGGATGATCCAACCTGTAGTGGAATTCCTCCTGTGCCATATGAGTTTGGAGATATAGGCCGGATATGATTTATATTCACTTGGAACAGGTATTTCTACACAAGTTTTATTATTGTGGTTTATTTATTTAGTTGCATAATTCTGCCTATATTCTTATTTATGTTATATTTGTAGGGGGTTCTCATTATCACCAGACTGGACTACTCCTTGTGTAGGTAGTTAGTCCTTTCAGTTTCCAATTTGTACTTAAGATTTCTCATCCTTCAGAAATTATTTCCGGGTTTGCTTATATTCATGTTGGTATTTTATTACAGATTTAGGTCTGGTCTTTCCTTCCTTTTACACACTGTGTACTTTGCCCTGCACAGTAATATACTGCTGTGTCTTCTGGTTTCATGTCTCTCATTTGCAGATATGCCTCATTTTTGGCTGTGTCTCTGGACAGGGTGAGCCTATTCTGTAATGTGGGGTTGTATGCTGTGCCCTGAGCATAATTAAGATGAGCCAAAAACACCAGGTTGCCATCTAAAAGTTGCTTTACGAAGTTCACAGCGGGGATCTTACTGCTATCGGTGATTGAAGCACCAGTGACTTTACAGACCAGCAGGACTGATTCTGTCGGCTTCACTATCTTCTCTGAGACCGAACATCTTCACATTTGGAAGAGTTATAATGTATGCTCCTACCCCAAATACAAAATAAAGTGACTGTAATGAGGCGCCGGACCCCAAAAAAGTGTCGCAAGTATAGCTTAACAATGGGGCGCACTAAATTTCCTCACAGGGCCCGCTGGAACAGCCGCAAACATCCAGTTTGGTGATTCGGTTAACCGGACCCTGCGGGACCTGGCAGCAGCCATCACGGACCTCCAGGCTAATGCCATTTCGATTTACTGTATGAATGGCAGCTACTGAGGCTCATGAGATGTTGCGATCTCGAAGATGTATTGCAATATACGTATATTATTGAAATTATCTGGCATATTAGAATTTGAGCGGGCACACATGGCCCTGCGACCTCGCAATGTGGAAGACGGGCCGCGGGACCTAATATGCTGCCTACATTCCTTCCCGGTGAAGAACACCATTATGGCAAAGGCACAGGAACGGCAGACCTGGCCCTTTAGAGGAGTTCAAGTTGCCCTCTATAATGATCTATCTCCCATAACGCTGGAGGCTAGACGGGCCCTCCGCCCGGTTACTGCGACATTGAGAGACCGGAATATCCCATACAAATGGGGCTTCCCCTTTGCCCTGATGGCTAGACACCAGAATAGATGGCTCACTTTGAGATGGCCTGAAGAGGTACCGCGATTCATGGGAGAAATGGGCCTCCCTACACCGTTGGTCCCTAACTGGATACTGGGACCGTAGGGCCCACAGCCGAGACCACAGAGGGGACATAGGCAGCGAGACGTGAGGCCTCATCCTGCTCCACACTCCGGACGACGCGGAGACCCAACAGCCCCGGAGGAATGATCGCCTCTGCCCATGATTGGCCCTGCACCTTGCTGCTTGGGATCCGCTCCTCCCTACCGGTGCCCGAGATGAGCAGATTTGGTGTGTGGATCACCGCCAGGTACAATGGGTTAACGTCCTGGGGGCTTGGGGTGGGGGGACGTGGGCATGTGGGCACACACAAAGGGCTCATGCACTTTTGAGACTGCCATATGGGACATGTAATTGCATCACCATCCACTCCCTAACTTTACATCATGAGAGATTCCTAGCAAGGAGCAAGCGGTCATAGCTTTGGGGAGGGGGGTTCAGGGGGGATGCAGGCCGCGCACGACGAGCGTCCCTATGGGGATCCATAATTTTACCTGAAACCCTAACCACGGCTGTCGTATGGGGACATTACTTCGCAGAGGAGGACTCTCAGTTGGGCCATATGTGCTTAAAAGCAATGTCTGCGATCCGCGGGGAGGGTTGGGGAGGGGAGCTGGAGGGTAACAGAATTGAATGTCAATGTGCATATAATGTACCCTGCTGCTGATATTACCGCTACACCCACTTTTGCACACTGCTTATTTTGGAGGCTTTAGGGGGCAGTTGGTACCCTAACTAGGCCCCGCTGTATTGCTGTTGTCGTTCCCTAGACTGACGGGACGGGCTGATGCGTCCCGGAAGATACTCCCTGCTATGAACGACTGACTTATAGCTTAGGCCCACACTCCCTCATCTCAGAACTCGCACGCCCATATCTGTAGGCCTGTGGTTTTACTTATGGGGTAACTGGCCGGAGAGTGACTTACATATGATGCATGAGATCATAAGTATTGGTTCAGGAACTTTAGGACGGACCCCCCGACATAGGGCACCCCACTGCTACAGGGGAGCTAGTCAATTAGATCTGGACGTTGATCTACCTCCTTCGGAGTACCTGGAGAATGAAGGGTTATACTATATTTTGACACGTTACTACCAGTGTGCCTTTATTGTAACTGTGTACTTATTGCTATCCATTCGAACTTGATCACGGTCGGAGAACCCTGATACCTTACCTGGGCGGTGCTCAAGCCACGCTCTCCTACACTCGTAGAGGTCTGTGACTCCCTTCCTGGGCTGGTACCAGAGCGAGCCCCAGCTGGTGGTTGCCTTTTCCCCCTCTTTTGTATCTAGATCGGGATCCCACCAGATTCTCCTGTGAGTCGACCCAGGCCCCTATTACTACTCCTCTAACCCACTGCTCCTAAACCCGCTCCCTATAGACTCCTCCTCAAACTGCTCCTATACCCACTCTTTATAACTCCTCCTCTAACTGCTCCCTCCATAACTATCTCTCCTCTAACTGATATATACCATCCTAAACCCCCCGCTCCCTATAACTACCTCCTCTAACTGCTCCTATACCCACTCTTTACTAACCTTACTCCCTCTAACTGTTATTCCCGCTCCCTCATACTCGCTCCCTATAACCCCCTCCCCTAACTGCTCTGCTATACCCGCTCCCTATAACTCCCCTCCTCCTAACTGCTCCTATACCCGCTCCCTATAACTCCTCCTCTACTATTGCTCCTATACCCGCTCCCTATAACCTATACCCGCTCCCTATAACCCCCTCCTCTAACTGCTCCTATACCCGCTCCCTATAACTCCTCCTCTAATTGCTCCTATACCCGCTCCCTATAACTCCTCCTCTAATTGCTCCTATGCCTGCTCCCTATAACTCCTCCTCTAATTGCTCCTATACCCGCTCCCTATAACTCCTCCTCTAATTGCTCCTATGCCTGCTCCCTATAACTCCTCCTCTAACTGCTCCTATACTCGCTCTCTATAACTCCTCCTCTAACTGCTCCTATACCCGCTCCCTATAACCCCCTCCTCTAACTGCTCCTATACCCGCTCCCTATAACTCCTCCTCTAATTGCTCCTATGCCTGCTCCCTATAACCCCCTCCTCTAACTGCGCCTATACGCGCTCCCTATAACTCCTCCTCTAACCGCTCCTAAACCTGCTCCCTATAACTCCTCCTCTAACTGCTCCCTATAACTCCTCTAACTGCTCCTATACCCACTCCCTATAACTCCTCCTCTAACTGCTCCTATACCCGCTCCCTATAACCCCCTCCTCTAACTTCTCCTATACCCGCTCCCTATAACCCCCTCCTCTAACTTCTCCTATACCCGCTCCCTATAACCCCCTCCTCTAACTTCTCCTATACCCACTCCCTATAACCCCCTCCTCTACCCACTCCCTATAACCCCCTTGTGAGCGTAAAAGTGGAATAGTGGTTGATGGGAGATACATCAGGCCGGATTTGCTAAACAGCAACCAGAGGATTTTCAGTTAAATGCCCCAGGGAGAGATGTTAAAGTTTGCAATATACATTGCTGATGCTCTGCAAAACATGGTATGGGTCCCTGGGGCGGAGTATTTGGAGGGCAGGGTGGGCCAATGCTCCAACAGCACTAATTGCTGTATAACAGACCACAATTTGGATCTGATTTAAGAGTTAACTAATTGGCACTCACCTGTAGCTGGTCAATTAGCAGACAGGCCTTTAAAAGAAGAGAGCAGCCTGCTGCAGAGTGAGGGAGGAAAAGACAGCTAGGAGAGTGAATGACAATTGTGTTTATTGCAAAGACATTTCTTTTGTTTGGAAAATTGGTAAGTGGGAAAGCCACCCAATTGCAGATAGCAATTCCTGTCTAGTAAGAGCAAGGAATTTTGTTTGTTTTGTTATTATTTAAAGCACCTGTTTTCTTATTGAATAAAAAGGAAAACCGAGCTGAATGTGTCCTGGACTTTGTATACCCTAGAACAGTGATGGCGAACCTATGGCACGCGTGCCACAGGTGGCACGCGGGGCCCTTTCTGTGGGCACGCGGCCACAGGTTCGCCATCACTGCAGAGTAGGCGCCTGCCTGCCCAAAACGGCAGGCGCCTACTCTGCTTCCGGGTCGGGAGGCAGGGGGAGGGCTCTAGGAAGCAGCTCCCCTGTCCTCCCGCGCGATGCTGTGTGGAGCGTTGCCGCGCGTTACCATGGCAACGCTCCACACAGCATTGCGCAGGAGGACAGGGGAGCTGCTTCCTGGAGCCCTCCCCCTGCAGTGCTTACCACCACCGGACCACCAGGGATAGCTGTGTGTCCCCCCCCCACTTCATTAAAGGTAAGAAGGAGGGGGGGGGATACTGACACACAGCACCCTTACCCCCCCAGAAGTAGCCCTACCCCCAGCACCCCTACCCTCCCCAGCAGTAACCCCTACCCTCCCCCAGCAGTAACCCCTACCCTCCCCAGCAGCACCCCTACCCTGCCCCCAGCAGTAACCTCTTCCACTGCCCAGCAGTACCCAGCCCGATGCTGCTGATTACTCCTAATGCGGCCGTGGGGGGAGGTAACCCTCCCGGCAGTAACCCCTCCCCTCCCCATGCAGTACCCCTACCCATACATACAGTGCCCCCAGCCCCCACACTGCGGGTACCCCCGATGTCCCAGCAGTACCCCTACCCCCACACACCCCTAGTACCTACACCCCACACAGTACCCCTAACCCCACACAGTACCCCTACCCTCCCAGCAGTACCCCTACCCCCCACACACAGTACCCCTACCCCTCCGCAGCACCCTTACACATATAGCACACACACACACACACACACAGCACCCCTCACATACAACACTCACACACACACGCACCCCCCACCTCAATGCAGTATGTGTGTATTCAGCAGTCTGTGTGTGTGTGCGTGTATTCAGCAGTCTGTCTGTGTTTCTGCGTGTATTCAGCGGTCTGTGTGTGTGTGTACTCAGCAGTCTGTGTGTATGTGTGTGTACTCAGCAGTCTGTGTGTGTGTGTACTCAGCAGTCTGTGTGTGTGTACTCAGCAGTCTGTGTGTGTGTACTCAGTCAGCAGTCTCTCTGTGTGTGTACTCAGCAGTCTGTGTGTGTGTACTCAGCAGTCTGTGTGTGTGTGTGTGTGTGTGTGTGTACTCAGCAGTCTGTCTGTATGTGTATTCATCAGTCTCTGTATTCAGCAGTCTTGTGTGTGTGTATTCAGCAGACTGTGTGTATGTATTCAGCAGTCTGTCTATGTATGTATTGCATTTGTTGGAGATACTAATAAATATAAGCTTAATTTTATCTATTTATATCATTATTTAAAATTTGTATCATTGAACTCTCTGTGTTCTTTTAAAACAAAAGTTATTAGTTCGGACAACAGTACGAGTTTTTTTTTTCTAAACTTAAACCTCAGTATTTGGGTTTAATTGCCGTGTTGGCACTTTAAGGAGAAAAAATGTTGGCATGTATTGCGGTTTGGGCACTCGGGCTCAAAAAGGTTCGCCATCACTGATATAGAACATATATAACTTGAGCTTGCAGGCCCACCGTGAGGTTGGACTCGCAGGTCCCTTAAAATGGTAATAGCGTGTGCACATGGGCTCGCTGGCCCTTATTACGCATTTGAACTCACTGGTCCCAAGCATTATTAGTAGGCGGTTATGAGAGCCTCTGTCCGTGTGCTGCAATTTTATTATACGCCTTGTGGTCGTATGGGCAGTCTACCCCTTAGTTGTCGCTCTCCTGCACCCCCTAGGCTCCCATGCTATTTGGGTGGTGGGGTTTAAGGCATCTGTGCGTGTGAGTGGGGTGTTTCTTATGTTTCGGTGGTTCTGTAGTTTGTTCAGAGCCTATCTGTACATGGCTTTGGTTGCGGGCTGCCCAGTGTGTTGGTGTAGGCATTTGTCCCCATTTACGAGGGTATGTGAGTATATGGGTGTCGGCTCTCGAGTTATGTTGGACCTCTGTTCCTCTGCTCAGGGATCTGCGTCACCCCGAGTAGCGTGTGTAGAGTGGGTTGAGGGTGGGGGGGTAGGTTCAGGCAAGAAAGGAGGGAGAGGGTTTATCGTCCGTCCATGTGTTAGTCTGTCCTGTGTCCCTCACATTGGGTGGTTATGTATTAACGTCAGGAAGTCAGGTTTTGTCGTTGTCAGTATCCAATGTGTCCAAATGTCTAGATACGTCTGTTGCTGCGGTCCAGCCTCTTCTATCGCTAGTAGCTCTTCCATTTGGGTGAACCATTTAAGCATAGATGGGGTCTCATTTTTCTTCCAGTATTGTGGTATAGTCTGTTTAAGGATCCGGATTGTGAGTGATTTTTTGTATTTGGATGTCGGGGTTTTCGTATGGTGAAGTAGCATGGCTGCTGGTTCTAGTGGTGGTGGGTTGTCAGAGAATAAGGACAGTATTTTATGGATATTCCTCCAGAATGTTTGCATAAGCTCGCATTCCCACCATATATGTAGGGGCGTACCCGTTGCCTTGGCACACCTCCAGCAGAGGCAGGACTCATTTGCGTGTATGTGGTGTATTGTATCAGATGTACGATACCATTGCGAGAGCAATTTCTATGCCGTCTCCTGGCTCTTGCTAAAAACTGAGCAGTGGTGTGTGACATTGCAGATCTTTTCCCACTCTGCTTTGCTAAAAGTCCGGTTTAGGGCCTCCTCCCATTTCCCCATAAATTTTGGTGTTGCAGATGGTGTGTGCGCTTGCAGTAGGGAATCTAGGTGCAACACGCTATGTGGTAGCGGGTCGGGGTCCGTGCATATGTTTTCAAAAATAGTGAGTTCCCTGTTTAGGGCTATTGCTTGCGGTAAGGTCTTCACATAGCTGTGCAACTATTCGTATCTAAAGTGAGTTAAGAAGGATTGGTCTGTCTCCCCACATATTTCCCTCAGCACACATTAATCAGCCTTGGCAGTGGTTCTCTCACTAGGGACCGGAGTGTTCTCGGGTCCATGCCCCGCGGGAAGTCTGTGTTGTGTGTGAGGGGAAGCAGTGGAGATGGGTATGTGGGCAGCGCGTGTCTGCCTATACTACTGCGCCATATCTTCAGTGTTGCTTTAGTGTATGTGGAGTAGTGTGTGCCTTCCTTATTCTGAAGGCCGCCATGAATTGCGGTGAGTCTCCTGCTTTTTTGACCCCCATTGCTTGTGTCACCTTGTGGGCGAAGTCCAGTAGGGCTTCTGGGCTCACTGTTTCTGGTGCAAAACTTAATCTTGATGCTTTCAGCTAAAGAACAAAATCTCTAATGAGACAAAGAAAGATATTTTATGAACCCCTGCACACTTAATAGGACACACATGGAATGCAACACTGTAACATGGCTGTGTAATACAAACGCACAGATGTAAGCCTTGTGCTTAAAGGACCACTATAGTGCCAGGAAAACATATTCGTTTTCCTGGCACTATAGTGCCCTGAGGGTGCCCCCACCCTCAGGGTCCCCCTCCCGCCCGGCTCTGGGAAGGGGAAAGGGTTAAAAACTTACCTTTTTCCAGCGCTGGGCGGGGAGCTCTCTGCTTCCTCTCCTCCTCTTCTCCTCCTCCTGGACTGAATGCGCACGCGCGGCAAGAGCTGCGCGCGCATTCAGCCCGTCGCATAGGAAAGCATTTACAATGCTTTCCTATGGACGCTTGCGTGCTCTCACTGTGAAAATCACAGTGAGAAGCACGCAAGCGCCTCTAGTGGCTGTCAATGAGACAGCCACTAGAGGATTAGGGGGAAGGCTTAACCCATTCATAAACATAGCAGTTTCTCTGAAACTGCTATGTTTATGAAAAAATGGGTTAACCCTAGCTGGACCTGGCACCAAGACCACTTCATTAAGCTGAAGTGGTCTGGGTGCCTAGAGTGGTCCTTTAACTCCCACTAATCCTGTTTTTATATTATGTATTAAGGCTGATAAATACTGTAACAATTGCTGCTGAGTAGAGTGAAAGTTAAAACTGAAAAAAATGTATGTGCTCAATATTACTCGAATAGAATTTTTAAAACCTCCCTTGTGTCCACATCTTCCATGCTGGGAGATGAGGGCATCCACTGGCTGGGACTTCCTGGCACCATAACAACTTGATTCTCACTGAGAACAGGGTAATGCTCTAACTCACCCCAGCTTGTGTGCAGCCCCATCTGCCTGGGACTCCTCCTTCCAGACAGGTATCAACCCCCTCTTACTGCTCCTCTGCCTTTCATGCTTAGCTCTACTGCCCTTACAATGGCACTTGTGGCTTTCAGGCATAGCATTTTCTTAATATGTCCCTTGGACCAGGAACTAGTCTGAAGGCTCTGCTACTGGAATGCCCAAACAAACTAGGCAGGACAGAACAGTTCTCAATGGAACTAGTAGACACTGCTTTATTTTGGGGGGGAAAAAACCTAGCCTTTGGGGACTTGTCCTTACACATCTGTTGAAAACCATTTAAATACAAAAATACAGAAATGGAGAACAAGCAATTAGAAATAATGAATCAAATATATAATAAAATCACAATCTCCAACCTGTGGAAAAACAGACATATACAGATGTATCTGTGTACATGTTTGCAATTTCATAATTTGCATATTGCAATGATAAAAATCAATGCATTTTTCAGTTTCACCCTGGAGAGTCATCTTAGGGTCATATTATCCCCCCCCTCCCCCAACCGCATAGGATTATTTTTATTTATTTTTTTAGCTATTTTCCCTCTAGCGGGTAGTGCTGCTAGTGGGCAAATAATTCCGAAGTTAACAAACTGGGTCTGAATTTCAGCTGCCTGTCATTTCTCTGTCAAGCTAAAATCCAGACCAAATTCTTGCTCATTCTGAGCCTGCGCTGTAAAATCTGGATATTGTTAAATACTGTGAACTATGTCCAACTTTTGCAGTCTGAATCACCCTATGCCCAATGAATGGTTTTGCCCCTTTTGCTAGAGGGACATTTGGAGTTTAGTGAATAACCTTATTAATATTTATTGTGTTTTCTGAATTTGTTTTGTCTTTAGCTTAATATTATCATCCTTTTTTGCTTTGTTTTTCTTTTGGTCAATTTTTTTTTTTCAATAATGAAGGTAGTATTACAGAATATAACAATCCATAAGAATAACTTGTTCCAATATTTTAAAAATGATTACAATAGATCAAGAAGTATATCAAGGCATAGTATCATGTTAATATATAACACTGAAACATATGTAAGGTTTTATTATTAAATTGTTTTATCTATGTTAATAACTTCAGTTCATATATCCATTTAGAAGCAATCATATTTCCTAGAATGCTGAAGTTCTCCTTGAGTAAGGAATAACAATAGAAAGGAAAACAAAAGTCAAATAAGAAAGTGAGATTGAAAATGCAGATGAAGTAGATAGTTGAGTATTACTTAAAAGCGCATTTGGAAGATAGGATTATTATGTCACAATTGTCTTCTCAAATCCCACTCCTCGAGGTACCTCTGTATCATTAATTGTATTATTACACTGCGCTAAATATTCTAACCAATGGTATCAAGCATTTAAATGTTTTATATAGTTGTACCCATTCAGGGAATTCTCCCCAATGTTGAGGAAGACATAGTAGGTCACTCCTCCAAACATTCAATTATCAACGTTCGTAAGGAGACAAAAAACAAAGAGATATTGTCTAAAATAGGTATAAAAGATGAGGGGAAATATTTATTTAAATAACTGTGACATGTGCAAGCCAAGATAAATGGGAGAATGAACACCGTTTGAAATCGGTTTCGATTTTCATCAAAAAGGGTAGAAAATGATGGTAATATAAGTCACTCACATTCTCTGTTACCCATACTCCCAGGTATTTCATCTTCTGATGGTACCACAGGTATTGACACATTTAATATCTGGCATATGTAAAGTTTAATTTGCATTCAGACAAGTCTCCATAGGTGGTAAATATCTGCATCAGACAGATAAGAGGAACACGAGGATTAGAAACAAAACCCAAAAGATCATCAGGCTAAGCCGCAACCTTATGTTGAGTTCCCTTCCAGTCATAGCCAGTGACATTTTGATTTTCTCGTATCACTACCAAGAGAGGTTCCAAAGTAAGTGAAAATAATAATGATGAAAGGGGACATTCCTGTCGCATTCCGTTATGACTCAGTAATGTTTTTCAGCTATATAGTGTTCTAATCCATTTCTGAATATTGTCACCAAAGACAATTCTTTGAAGAGTAGCAAACATAAAACTTTAGGGGTATATTCTGATAATTATTCCTTAATCGTATGTGTCTTTTCTATTTCAGATAATTGTGGTCTATCTTTTTAAATATTATACAACAAGGAAAAGAAAAAGTGAAATTCTGTATTAAAATATACTCGAAAAGGCAATGTACCTCCTGTTGACAGTTTCAGTTAATGTACCTGAGTGAGTGGTTGTTGACCCTTCACAATTCCTGCAACGAGTTTAATGAATATTGTTCAATGAATATAAAAAAACCTCTGTGATAAGTGTCATCAACAGTCATCAGGCACTCAAAAGTTCTCTATATTTATTATCAAATTGCTTATGCTTGTGTTGTGATTCCAGTTCTTAAATAGAGGCGTGAAGGTCTAATATTTGTTTTAACGTCTGCTTTTTATTCTGTGTAGCTAGTGTATTTTTATTATGTGCTTTTATTACACTTTTAGAGGCTTCCACACTATCACTGGGAAAATACCTTCTAGGTCAGTGATGGCGAACCTATGGCACGCGTGCCACAGGTGGCACGCCGGGTCCTCTCTGTTGGCACGCGGCCATAGGTCGCCGGGAGAGGGGGCCGCTGGCTGTCTGCAGGGTAGGCACCTGGCCGCCCAAAACGGCCGGCACCTACTCTGCTTCCATGTTGGGAGGACAGGGGAAGGGCTCTAGGAAGCAGCTCTCCTGTCATCCCACGCGATGCTGTGTAGAGCGTTGCCGCGTGTTACCATGGCAACGCTCTACACAGCATCGCGCGGGAGGACAGGAGAGCTGCTTCCTAGCTGCCAGAAACATACTTATCACCACCGGACCACCGGGGATGGCTGTGTCCCCCCCCTCCTTCACCAAAGGTAAGAGGAAGGGAGGGGAGGATACAGAATTAATTTTTGTATTTTTACCCCTACCCCCCCACAGCACAGCACCCCTACCCCCCACACACAGAACTCCTATCCCCACAGCACAGCACCCATACCCCCGACACAGCACCCCTACCACCCACAGCACCACTACCTCCACACAGCTCAGCACCCTTACCACCCACATCACTCCTCCCCCACAGCACCCCTCCCCCCACATACAGCACTCCTACCCCCACATACAGTACAGCATTGTGACGAGACCAATCTCGCCACATTGCATTGGAGAAGCCTGGTTGTTTGCCTGCTGCCTTTGGACTATGGCCCCCTTTTAAAAGACTTTATTTTGCCTGCAGAAAAGCTGTATTCGTGCTTTTCTGCCGGTTGTTCGGTAGTTTCAATCTACCGAACAACCGCACGAATGAATAGACCACCTGGGAGCTGGAGTGTGCCGGCAATTAACCTCCCTGAAGCTGCGGTTAACCGCAGCTTAATTGATGAATGCTGGGTGGCCGCCATTCGTATCCCGAACACGAGGTCGCGGCCATTTTAAAACATACGAATGCACAGCGGTGTTCGCCTCTATTTTCATGGAACTAAAATCGGACACAGTTTTGCGCGAACACCGCTGAAGCCGCCAACCTCCCTTCTTGTTCGGTGGAAGTGCACGAACGGCCCGGTGTTCGGTATTTTTGTTCGAATGTATTATACCCCAGATAGGAATCCCATGGAGCCCATTCGTATGAAACTGACTGTGTAAAGACTTTAGCTCCATGGCGATTAAACTGTATTCGTGTGGTCTGAGTGCCATCCACCTAATAATGTGCACTCAGACCTGAGCTATCTGGGGATATGTTACATGTCTGTGTTTTATGTAATAAATGTTACATTATGTATTTTAAAGTATAATGCTGGTTTTGTGTCCCCACGTGTGTAATGGAGTTTTGCCTTTGTCTTGGGAGATAATTTAATTACTTCCCAATTATCTCCCAAGGCAGAGGGGAGGAAGCCAGGATGCATTGTGGGAAATACTGTGACTGTGTGTCCTATTTGTCTGCTTGTCTGTCCCTTGTCACAGTCTCCCATTTGGTCCCCTAGGGGAGTGTCCACCAGGTGGGAGACCTGCATAAATACTGGGCAGGTAGCCCTCATTAAACAGACCACTGCTTGACCCCCAACACGGAGCCTTGTCTCGTCTTTGGGGGGATTTACTGTATGCTGCTAAGGACTGATTGCCAGGAGTGTAAGCCGCTTGGGAGCTTTTCCTGTTCGTCTGGTAGCAGCAATTCGTATGGTTCCTGTTCGTGTATTTGGAGTGCTACCTTATTCCCTTGTATGCCGTTCGGGAGTTTGGAGCATTCACTTGTATGCAGTTCGAGAGTTTGGAGCATTCACTTGTATGCAGTTCGAGTGTTTGGACCATTCCCTTGTATGCAGTTCGAGTGTTTGGAGCATTCCCTTGTATGCAGTTCGAGTGTTTGGAGCATTCCCTTGTATGCCGTTCGGGAGTTTGGAGCATTCACTTGTATTCAGTTCGTGAGTTTTGGTGATTCTACAGTAGCTGTGCCTGTCTCTGAAAGGGGATTATCGTCTAAGCGTTTTTTTTCCCTTTTGTGCAAAATGGTCCGTTACAAGCATCTCTACCCCCCACACAGCACCTCTACCCCCACAAACAGCACAGCACTCCTAGCCCCCACACAGCACAGCACCTCTACCCCCACACACAAAACAGCACCCCTACACCCCCACACAGCACAGCACCCCTACCCCTCACACATCACCCTCCCCCACACAGCACAGCACCCCTACCCACACAGTACCCTTACCCCATAGCACCCTCTGTGTGTGTGTGTATTCAGCAGTCTGTGTGTACTCAGCAGTCTGTGTATATGTATTCAGCAGTCTGTGTGTATGTATGCAGCAGACTGTGTGTATGTACTCAGCAGTCTGTGTGTATGTACTTTTCAGTCTGTGTGTGTATTCAGCAGACTGTGTATGTGTATTCAGCAGACTGTGTGTATGTACTCAGCAGTCTGTTTGTACTCAGCAGTCTGTCTGTATGTGTATTCAGCAGTCTGTCTGTATGTGTATTCAGCGGACTGTGTGTGTGTATTTAGCGGACTGTGTGTGTGTGTGTGTGTGTATTTAGCAGCCGGTGTGTGTATGTATTTAACAGATGGTATGTCAATGTGTTCAGCAGTCTGTGTGTATGTATTGCATTTGTTGGAGATACTAATAAATATAAGCTTAATTTTATCTATTTATATCATTATTTAAAATTTGTATCACTGAACTCTCTGTTGTGTTCTTCTTTTAAAACAAAAGTTGTTAATTAGTTCGGACAACTGTACGAGTTTTTTCTAAACTTAAACCTCAGTATTCAGGTTTAATTGCCGTGTTGGCACGTTGCGGAAAACAAGTTGGCATGGATTGCGGTTTGGGCACTCAGGCTCAAAAAGGTTCGCCATCACTGCCCTAGAAGGCTGTGGTTACTGCAAGATCTGTGACAATCCTACCTATAAAAGAGGTGGTTTGTTATACCCTCCTCTAACTTCTCCTATACCCACTCCCTATAACCCCCTCCTCTAACTTCTCCTATACCCACTCCCCATAACTCTTCCTCTAACTTCACAGCTAATTGATTTTTACAGCCTTCCTGATCAGATGTGTGCAGAAACATAAATATTTGTTTACCACAAAGCAGTCATCCTATCGCGGGTTTACGAATGGGCAAATAACCCCCCAGACCGGCAATGGATCCAACTAGAAAGCTCCATATTTAAGGTCCCCCTACACACAATCCCGTGGCAAAAAGCAGCCCCCTCGATGCTTTTGGGCAACCACACCACACATCCCACGATCCTGCCCACACTCCAGATATGGTCACACATACGGGAAACAGCTAATATATCCCCGCACCCATCCCCCCTTTACCCCATCACATATAATCCCCTCTTTGCACCAGGTCTACAAGACAAGACATACCAACACCTCCGAAAGACACCGGATGAGACTTCTCTTCAGTTAGGCACCGTGTTGGAGGGACAACATGTCCGCTCCCTGACCAGTTTAACTGGACAAGAAACCCCCACGACGATGCAAACTCTCCCCTATGCACAAGTGACACACTTCATAAGAGGCTCCCACACCCTTTTGGATTTCCAGATTCATAGTAAATCAAACAACGTTAAAACTAAACAACTCAACATTCTATAAACTCCTTGGATCCGATCAACATAACACAATACCTGCATTCATAGACTCATGGTCCACGGGCCTAGGGACTCAAATTACTGCTCCCCAATGGACGACCATTTTCTGTCAAACTCACACCACCTGGGTAAGTACTGCTATCCAAGTAATTATAAAAGAATCTCAGATCACACTACTCGCCGTCCAAAATCCATACTCTCTTTCCCAACTCACAAGACGCCAACCGGGAGCCTCCCTAGCACATACCTGGTGGCTTTGTCCGACTATCCAGAAATGGAATAATATAATAAAAAATTATCAAAATGATAACAGGGACTCAATTGCCCCCCACCCTGCAAACACTACTGTTTATGATACTCCCACATCCCCTCCCCAAATCACAACAAATTCTTCTCACACATCTGGTAACCGCTGACAACCTCCTTATACCTGTAAAATGGAAAAACCCAACCACACCATTGATCAGGGACTGGATTACCAGAGTAGACACACTTAGAAACATAGAGGAAATCCATGCCTCCATCACCCACAAACGGTCCCTCTTCCAAGAAGTTTGGGAGCCCTGGAACACATTCATGTCCAACAACTAACAATATCCATAGCAACAGACACCTAGATTAGAGGAACCACACGCAGGACACATACGAACCACAAAATGGAGACTATAAACTATAACGTCCCTGACGCACCACGGGGACGCACCTTCCAACCGGATGCCCCCCCCCCCGTTTGTTCGTACTCAACAAACAGACAGATAAGACAGATTAGCCATGCATTGCCTCCACTATCCCCCAACCCTTCCCCTCCACCTCCCATCCCAGGTGGCCTTTACCTTCCTGCCCTCCAAACCCAACACCTTCAGCCTGAAGCACAGCGCCTGTAGGAACAACAGATACTCTTCCCAACACAGCACCGTCCACACAACCTCATAGCTACCAGAAGGATTAAAACATCGTTGCCATCCTTCGCCCCTGGTCCAGCAGTTACACACCCAGAGTTACCAACTATACCAACTACCCCACTGCAGACATCACGCTAGCTCACTAGACTGCAGCTTCCACCCCCCATACCACACGCCACCCCACAGGCAGACACGCAAGTTAAATATTACCCGAATGTACACCTATCAGGGATACACTCAGCTAGGTACAGCCTACACATACCCAGGGACGAACTGCAGACACATGCAGGATACTGCAACTAACCAACCACACGGTTGCTATATGTCATACCACTCGTTTAGACGTACTGTTTTCCTGTAGAATAATGTTGATAAATACAGACGACCATAGTAGTACTGTTATAATATTACTGTTAAAGCATTGTTGTTACGATTATAACCATCGAGCCTGCTGATGCTGCTGTGGCGATACAGGCACTGTTGAATTGACTTCCAAATTGAATAAAGTATTCAAAACTCAAAAAAAAAAAAAATGCATACAAATTGTGGTTCAGTGATATACTGAGAATATAATAAATAATAATCATTAAAACAAATTTATTTATTTTTTAAATGAAATTTTAGTTAAAGAACCACTATAGTGCCAGGAAAACATACTCGTTTTCCTGGCACTATAGTGCCCTGAGGGTGCCCCCACCCTCAGGGTCCCCCTCCCGCCCGGCTGTGGAAGGGGGAAAGGGGTAAAAACTTACCTTTTTCCAGCGCTGGGCGGGGAGCTCTCTGCTTCCTCTCCTCCTCTTCTCCTCCTCCTGGACTGAATGCGCACGCGCGGCAAGAGCTGCGCGCGCATTCAGCCCGTCGCATAGGAAAGCATTTATAATGCTTTCCTATGGACGCTTGCGTGCTTTCACTGTGAAAATCACAGTGAGGAGCACGCAAGCGCCTCTAGTGGCTGTCAATGAGACAGCCACTAGAGGGAATAGGGGGAAGGCTTAACCCATTCATAAACATAGCAGTTTCTCTGAAACTGCTATGTTTATGAAAAAATGGGTTAACCCTAGCTGGACCAGGCACCCAGACCACTTCATTAAGCTGAAGTGGTCTGGGTGCCTAGAGTGGTCCTTTAAGTTCCAGTACAACATGCAGCATTATTAGAACAGAATCTCTTTTTATTTTTGCACAAATAAATAAGTCATGAGGCTTTAAAGGTTGTCTCTCCTTGTCCTATGCACCAGCACAAGGCATTGTGGGATACAGATTTTATTTGTGTGGATAGGTCTGGTCATAGCCTTAATGCATGTAGTGTATAGTTCTGCAAATTGAATGTGACAGACCGCTGGCACTCCAACTGAGTACCTCCGCCAATCGATGCTCCTAGTGCTTGCCGAGGACTCCGAGCACTCCAACCGACACCATCAGCACTGCGGACCCCACTTCCAGCGATGCAGCTGCGCCGGGGTCTCGCCGTCTCTCAACGTCTCTCACCCACCCTGGATCCACGACCAGTATCCAGCTCCCAGTGGGTGAACCTCTCCTTAAGTAGCAGTAACCCCTACCCTCTCCAGCAGTAACCCCTCCTTAATCCAGAGAGCGTAGCAGAAACAAATCAAGCTCTTACAAGAGCTTACTCTGGGGAGTAAGTGATTATAGCAATTCCCAGAGTGTAGGTATCCCTTCCCCCAAGCATGAGCCAAGGCTTCAAGAAAGGTGCAAGTAGGTCTGGTTTATTGAGGGCTACTTGCTATTTATGCAAGTGTCCACCAGGTGGACACTCCCCTAGGGGACCTGATGGAACAATGGGACACATATTAGATATTAGCCAATCACAGACAATACAAACAAAACACTCCCACAGTGACATCACAACCCCTCATCTCTATCCTGGAGATAATTGGGAAGTAATCAAATTATCTCCCAGGACAGAGGCAAGACTCCATTAACCACATGGTTACAAAAAGACATACAATTACACAATGTTACAATTACTACATAAAACATATACATGTAACATATCCCCAGATAGCTTAGATCTGAGTGCACATTATTATTGAATTGCGCTCAGATCACATACATACAGTTCAATTGCCATGGAGCCAAAGTCTTTTCCATAGTCATATAACTTTCAAACTACACATACAATCTTCATAAAATTACATATTTAGAATCAATCCATTAAGGGGAGCAACATATTAAAAAATGGCACAAATCAGACAAGGGGTTCAAAAGTTAGCAAAAGTGTCTTTTGGGGCCTGGCTGGCAGCATGGTTTTCTGGCCCAAACCGGTTTTACAGAGGCCTCTATCCTGGACAATGGGGAAAGTAATCCAATTATCCAGGGATAGAGGCAGACTCCATTAACCACATGTTAGCAAAAGACACAAAAAGACACAAAAATACATAACTCCTATTGAACTGAACAGAACCCCCACATTCAACCTATCCCCAGATGGCTTGGATCTGAGCGCTCAATATATCCAAACAGCGCTCAGATCCCACAAATACAGTCAAATCGCCATACACACTAGGTCCATAGTCATGGGGCAGAAGGCTGGCAATTAGGCTTCTCCATAACACAGGGAAGCAGGGCAATTTGTCAAATAAAATAACAGTTACAAATGGCAGTTTGTAACAATAGATACATGACATCATATGTGTTTATTAAATAACTTTACAAGGTTTGGTAATATTTTACTTTATTTTTAGGATAATCTGGGATTTGAATTTGCAGAATCCTCATCACAATGCTGATTTTTCTCAATAAAAGGAAGTACCTGGATAATACTCATTCAAGTTATTCTTTGTATTGGAATACCTTGATGCAGTTGTGCATACTATCTGCCACCATGAGGTGGTGGTCTTGCCACAGTGCCAAACCTCTAGGACTGCTGAGGCCCTCTGTAACAATGAATTGGGCAGGCTTTGTGGGAGAATAGTAGATAATAGAATGTTTCTTTCCCCAGTCTGCCACCAGCACTCCTCCCTCATTGTCTATGCAGACTCCCCATGGGTTATAGAGCACTGGTCCAAGACTATCCTTCAGCCCTAGGACTTTCAGAATTTGCCAGTCCTTTCCAAGCACCTTCACACAACAACCTCCATCAAATCCTCTTTCTGAAATAACTAGAAGTCCTTGATTGTTGGAGTCAACAAGGTAGGGCTTGTTAAAGCCAGGGACTACTGTGCTTTCCTTCAGACGTCCATTTGAAGAATCGAGTGTCAAGGCCCACAGAGTTCCCAGCCTCATGTCTGCAATAACAAAATCATCATTCTGGTTGACAGTAATACCACGTGGGGCTCCCCAGTTCCTAGAAATGGATTGGAGGAAACGGCCATGCCGATTATACACTTCCACAGTGCGATCGGTTGAGTTGGTCAATGCAACTAGCCCTCGCTTGTTCACAGCAACATCAAAATAATTCTTGGTGGCTAGTGCAATTTGTTGGAGGACTTTCCCCTTAGCATCCATCACTTGCAGCCTCCGATTTCCATAATCTACTATGTAGAGTAACCCTGTGGTTATTGTGTGGATGCCATGGGGGAGATTTAACTCTGCTCGGCCAGACCCAAACTTTCCAAATTGTTTAACAAGATTATCAGGAGCTCCACTCTCAGTGGGAAAGTCAATGAGATTTGATTCACTTTTGCTTAAACACTTTGTTTTGTAAGGGAGTTGATGGGAAACCTTTGCAGTCTTTCTCCAGTGCTGAGAAGACCTTACTCGCACTTGCACTTCTCGAGTGGCACCTGATGGATTTGATGATGCTAAACTCCTTGGATTCGACCAGCAGCTTGAAGAACTAGATATAGAGTCCCTTCTTTCCATGTATGATGACGATTTGATGGCTTTGGGATGTGAATTAATTTGCCTTGAGATTTTTTCAATATAAGGCATCGAGGATGATCTTGGAACAGAGTTATAGGTTGAGGTGGGTCGAAGTAGATTTTTGATATTAGGAACAAGTTTTGGTGATAGACACCTGACTTGAGATAACTTTTTTGATTTGGGCAAATGTTGTTGAGTACGTATTTCAGATTTTGCAAAAGAAGGAGAAATAACAGGATGAGCTTTCTTATTTTTTTTAGCTGTTGGCTGTGAAAATGGGCGTGTTATATGGGACTTTTGAACTTTCTCCCTGCTCCCTGCAGGCTCTATGATAAAGGTACAGGTAGATGTGACACTCTCTGCGGGGGACAATGATCTTGCAGGTTCATACCTAGTCTCACTACTCACTTTGTCTAGTCTTATATAATCACTATTCAGTGATGGACTCTTTACATGAGCTATTAATACAGAGGTATCTGTAAACTGGCTTAACTGCAACTCTTGACTATATCTACAAGTCAGGTCTTCACTCTTCATGTCATTTTGGCTTTGCCATCTAGCTAATTGTTCCCCATCAGCATTTTGTTTAGCAGAAGGCATTCGGCTTTCTCTGATTGCCAATTCCCGAAAATCTTTAGGATCTCTGTCAGCATTATTGCTTCTATCTTCCAAAATCTCTTCTGAACTGTCTGAGTAGTCTTCAAGCACAAATGCTGCTGTGGCTCTAAATAATGTATTGGGATCTGGTAAAATGCCAGACTGATCTATGGTATTGATAATACTGTTTTTCTCATAGCAGGAGTTCTGATTTGTCCCCTTCACTGTTTCTGGACCATTGCTTAACACAGGCTTATTGTCACTTGGGCTGTAAAAGCAGGAATTATCAGTTTTGCCCTGTGTTGATGAATGATTTAACTTTTGGGTGGGTGGACAGAGACCATGACGTTTCCTTCTGGTTCCCACGTCACAGTTCTTTGTCGTTTCTGACTCCTTACTCTTTACAAACAGGTGCATTGCCTTCATTTCTTGGAACTCGTTGGGAAGACATTTAGTTGCTCTACTGTGATCTTCAGAACACATAATTCTTGAAGTTCCTTTCTTTAGTGTAATCAAACTCTGCTCCTTGCATGGACTATGTTTAATTTCTGAGATCCAGGATTTGGTGGCAATTTGAGGATTCACTTCTGCGTTGTCTGCTTCATTAACTGCCTGTTCCAGGAGGGATAAGGTACTTTTCTGAAGTTCATGATTTATTATTTTCTCTTGTCTTGTATAGGGTAACCTGGGGCTGGGTTCAGAATCCAGATCACTCCGATCATCTGACATATTTATTATGATATTTCCAGGATCTACTAAACTCTGAGAAGAGTTTTCCCATGGTGGCTTTTCATCGCAAAGCAAAACTGTATCCTCATTCTCGATGGAGATTGTTTGAGTTCTTTTGGGAGGACACGGGATGGAGAAACCTAGAGTTTGTTCTTCACATCGAATCTCACCGAGTGTGGTAGGAACAAGCTGATAAGGAGTAAAATGTACCTTCTTTAAACTAACACTGATACTTTTTCTTTTAAAAAATATGTTGGATACTCGTTCCTTGATCTGCCTTACCACAGTTTCACTATCGTTGGATGTGCCCAAAGCCTGTTTGAGCTGGGACGATATTCCAGAGATCTCATGCACAAGGCTGTTTATTTCTGCCACCCCATCCTGAAGGGCCAGCTCATTACTTCTCTGGATGGAAGACAGCTGATCTCTGAGCCGCCTGTGCTCCTCTTCCACCTGAGTAAGGATGGTCTGCTCACGTTCGAGGATGGAAAGTAAAGTCTTTTCAAATGACTTTGCAACCCGTTGGTGGTCCTTGGTTTGCTTAGCTTTGATCTGTTCCAGCTGTTGGCAAGTCCAGGCCAGGTCACTCAGTAGGGCTGAATGCTCTCCCATTGCCTTGGGCTTTCTGGATGGTCCGTCCTCACTACATAAATAGCTGGCGCATGAAACTTTTTCCTGAAATGAAAGAAAACAATCAAATGTTATCATTGGTTAGAGATGACTAATAAACTGAAAAGGAAACATGGAAAATAATAAATGTTTTGAAAAGCCGACTAACGCTTTGCCACACTTTAACTGCTGGCTATAGCGGGTCTCACAGGTGTTGTGTGAGATGTTATGACATCACACAACTACCAGTATTAGTTCAGTCATGCATAGGGAGATAAATCTCAGTTATTCTTTGTTTAAGTCAAGGAATGTACCCCAATATGCTTTTATTTGTGTTATATGACAAACTCACTATTTATCATGTTCTAAGGTCAGATCCCTTCTAGTTCGTGTTCTAAGTTTCCCCGAACACAAATTAGTTTCCAAAGTTCGACAGCTGCAATCTACTAACACCGACCAGCCCCCTGGCTCATTAACTACAAACTAACCAGCTTGTTGCAAAATTGTGCTTCAAACTGGGTTTTTTTGCCTTCTTTTGGATCAACAGCAAAAAACAAATGTGAGGAAGGCTGAACTTGATGGACGCAAGTCTCTTTTCAGCTATGTAACTATGTAACTATGTAACCACAAACTTAAGGGCTCTCTCTGTGTTGTCGGGAACAGAAGCAGGCGTTGGCGAGGTTTGACACATGGATGTATCCGACTGTGAGTTCAATGCGCTCGATGACCAAGTGCCACTGCCTGCGTTTAGGAGACAAGATGGCTGCCGTTTTCAACAGCCGGTGTTTTTCGGTTATACGAACAGCGGTCATCTTGTCTCCTGAACGCAAACAGCGGCACTTGGTCATCAAGCGTATGGAACTCAAAGTCGGATACATCCATGTGCAAACCTTGGTGATCTTGCGTCAACGCTTGCTTCTGTTCCCGACAATACAGGAGAGTGCTGTTCAGTCGAATTGCTCGCACAAACTAGGCGAACAATCGCTACCAATGAGCCAGGGGAACAGTTCTACAGTTTGTTCGTTTTGGAACTCCCGAAAGTGTCCGACGCTACCACTTTTTCTCTGGAACTAATTTGTGCAGACACCACGTGTGTGGTCGGTCAAAACTTTACCCCGGTGGCGATTCGGCTGTGTTAGTGGAAACTGATTTCTATTTGGACACGTTGGGCATTCAGATCTAGGTTATCTGGCGATATGTACTCGCCCTCTTATGAATCTCAGGTAGAAACCGATGCCCCGACCCTGACCATACAACCCGCCCTCTATTGGGACACCCCCACAAGATTTTCTCAAAATGAGTATAAGACACCCCGCAGGGGAATCTAGAACAGGGTTTTCCCCCTTTGAACTATTCTATGGGCGGAGAGTCCAGGGGCCCCTGGACCTTGTCCGAGAACATTGGGAGGGAGACATGGGAGAGGCCCCTATAGTAGCATATGTCCTGGAGCTGCGGGATCGGTTGCAGGCTCTAACTGAGTCCTTTCAAAAGAACTTGCGGGTGGCCCAGCAGCGCCAGAAACGTTTGTACAACTGGGAGGCTAGAGATCGTATTTTAGAACCTGGGCAAAAAATTTTAGTCCTTAGACCCACAAAAGCAGATAAGCTCCAAGCCGCATGGCAAGGGTCCTTCAGGCAGTGGTGTATTTTGGATTTGTGCTGCCCTAGGCAAGACTAAACTTGGGCACCCCCAAAATCTAAATTTGCCCCCCCCAATTCATGTCAAGGCCACTTTTTTGACTGGCAGACACATGCCCTCATTGATACATGCACTGATCTACACTCACTGACAGATGCACAATCATTGGCACATACATACAGTCATTGGCACACACTGTTTAACCAACACACACTTTCACTGACAGATACACACTCTCAGATACAAATAAAATGACATACACACACATATACACACTGACAGCTACACTCACTCACTCACAGTAAAGTGGACAACCCCAGAACATGAGGCAAACAAGGCATTTGTCTGGGTGCTTGGGGTGGCGTTTTTTGGCGCCTCCACCTCCCCCCGAAAGTGCCGCCCTAGGCAAATGCCTTGTTTGCCTTGTAGTAGTGGAGTGTATAAGTGATACCACCTGTATAGTGTTAAAATGTTCAGATGAATCTGCTCAAACCTTATCTAGAAAGGTCAGAAGAGGTAGCAGCAGTATTCGCCCCAGCTTTCAAAGACCGTGAAAGCCTTCCCCTACCCGATCTGCTCCCCACCACCACAGCTGGAGTGGAGCAGGTCAGTCTGGGAACCGAATTAAGTTAAGCCTCCCAACTGTTAGGGGACTTTTGCAAAATGCTTTCTGCCCTACCATGGTACACGACACTGGCAGTACACAGAGTGGAAACCCCAGGTCAGATACCTCTCCGGCAGCAACCATATTGCATCCCGGAAGCCATTAGGGAGAGCATGCACAAGGAAATTCAGGAGATGTTAGAATTAGGGGTGATAGAACCCTCCCACAGCCCTTTGGCTTCTTCAGTAGTTCTGGTGCCTAAGTGGGATAGTACGACCCGCTTCTGCATCGACTACCGCAAGCTCAACGACTGATCTGTTACAGACGCCTATGCCCAGGGTAGATGAGCTGTTAGATCGCATGGCAGGAGGGAATAACTTGACCACTATAGATTTGTGCAAGGGCTATTGGCAGATCCCCCTGAAGCCTGAAGCCATCCATAAGTCGCCATTTGTCACCCCATTCAGCCTATACCAGTTTAAGGTTATGCCGTTTGGGATAAAGAATGCCGCCGCCACTTTTCAGCGCATGGCTGATCGGCTCTTGGAGGGATTTCAGGATTTCGCATGTGCATACCTGGATGATATTACCAACCCACCTTGAGCACATATCTGTAGTGCTCAACAGAATTTGAGCCACCGGTCTAACCTTATGTAGGGATGGCTGAGGTCCAGTACCTTGGTCACCGAGTAGGTTCAGGCAAGCAGCGCCTCAAACCAGCCAAGATAGAGGCAGTAGCCCAGTGGTACAAAAATCCCAAAACACTTCACCCTTACACCAAAATAAGTGTTGAGTAAAAAAAGTAGTTAACTTAGTACAAAACAGCTTCCCAAGAGGCCTTCCCCAACAGTGCCCCTTAAATGGATAGGTTGATATATACAAATATGGGATACAGCTTGATCTCTAGAACATAAAAAATAAACAACACATAGTGATGTATTGTAACATAAATAGAATATGTCAAATACTGGTCGCACTCACAAGGTAGCGCCTTGAACCCAAAAATGGCTGTGATGTTCCCCTTTCTGACTTGTGTGCAGCATGAACCTCAGCAGACATAATCAGGGATCAAATAAAAACCTGTTTATTGAGGCAATAAAAGCCTTAATGAATAAAAAGTAAAACTTAAAATACTGGATATCTAACACATTTCTTCCACTCCAGGTGGACTTCCTCAGAGATAAAATAAACAATCATAAACAATGCAGTGTATAATAACAGGTCCAGTGGCCCCACCAAAACCCAGGTAATGTATTTTCTGGGAATTGCCGGATATTACCGTAGGCAGTGGCGTACACATGACCCATGGGGCCCCGGTGCGAAAATTGATCCGTGGGCCCCCCCCCCCCACGCGGGCCGGGCCGCAACACATGGCGGTGGGCACCTGGTCGCAGGGGTTACAGGGCTGCGACCCCCGCGACCGCGGTATGTACGCCAGTGCATGCAGATGCACACACACTTAAAGGACCACTCTAGGCACCCAGACCACTTCAGCTTAATGAAGTGGTCTGGGTGCCAGGTCGAGCTAGGGTTAACCCATTTTTTCATAAACATAGCAGTTTCAGAGAAACTGCTGTGTTTATGAATGGGTTAAGCCTTCCCCTATTTCCTCTAGTGGCTGTCCCATTGACAGCCGCTAGAGGCGCTTGCGTGCTTCTCACTGTGATTTTCACAGTGAGAGCACGCCAGCGTCCATAGGAAAGCATTATGAATGCTTTCCTATGTGACCGGCTGAATGCGTGCACAGCTCTTGCCATGCGTGCGCATACAGCCGACGGGGAGGAGAAGAGGAGGATCGGAGGAGGAGAGCTCTCCGCCCAGCGGTGGAAAAAGGTAAGTTTTACCCCTTTCCAGAGCCGGGCGGGAGGGGGTCCCTGAGGGTGGGGGCACCCTCAGGGCACTATAGTGCCAGGAAAACGAGTATGTTTTCCTGGCACTATAGTGGTCCTTTAAAGGACCACTACAGACACCCAGATCACATCAGCTCAATGAAGTTGTCTGGGTGTCAGGTCCCTCTAGTTTTAACCCTGCAGCTGAAAACATAGCAGTTTCAGAGAAACTGCTATGTTTCACTGAGGGTTAATCCAGCCTCTAGTGGCTGTCTCACGGACAGCCGCTAGAGGAGCACACTGAACGTCCATAGGAAAGCATTGAGTAATGCTTTCCTATGAGCGGTTTGAATGCGTGCGCGGTCGCATTAGGAGCTGAGAGGCTGAGGGATCCTCAGCACCAAGGGAGTCCGGCGCTGGAGAAAGGTAAGTGCTGAAGACACACACACTCTCACTTACAGACGCATACACACTAGCTAACAGACTGTAGAATATTGCATATTCTATGTTTCTATTGATTATATATGGATGTGTGGATTGACATAAGTAACAGATGGTATCAATAAGTCACAAGGCTTTCTTTGTCCGAGAGCTCTGGAATGTGGGTGTGGGGGTCTTGTCCTTATATGGCTAGAGTTATATGCTGACGTTAGTATTAGCACTTCTATATAGTAACAGAGGGACACGAGGTCTCGCAGTCTAGTCTCACTCTTGGCTTGGCTCTGTACAACGATGTAACTCTCCCATCAGAAGTCCAGCAATTACCATCTGCTGTTCAATGTCCATAATCCTGTAACATCCTTTATGTTTTATTATGTATCCGTAACAAAGAATAAACCTGAAGAAACCGTAAGTCAGATTGCGTATTACTACTTTTCAATAATATAGACATATATTATTGTGGCGAGCATTTGGCCCAAGACTATATATACAAAAGACGTATATATATCAATCAACTGAAGACAAGAAGAAATTAAGAAAGAGTCTACATTAACATCCATTCATCTAGTTTTTTACATTGGCTAGCCTGCCAGTCTTCTATTCAAAGTTTTGTTCCCACTTCAAGGGGGGAGAGAGAAGAATCGAGTTACAAAGCTATTTTGGAACTGGGAAAACAAACTTGAAGAGAAAAAAAGAATCTAGATTAGCATAGAAGAACGGTGGTTTGTAAGAAAAAGAAAGTTTTCAAATCAAAGACTGTACAAGACTATTTTCTAAAACTGAGACAAAAAGCACAAGATACAACGTGAAATCTAGAAGCAAGCACGTGGCAGACATTGGCAAGCGTCCAAGCAAAGAACTGCGCAGCTGTGTGGATGAAGCAACGAATTAGACAGAAATAACTGATCTGGTGAGTAACATGGAATTCATAAATGATATTGCAGAGAAAAGTAAATTGCAGTTTGCATGTAATAGCAGCTATTCAGATGCTGTATTGTGGCAATCTTTATACACACAATGTGAAATTGCCAATAGTGAAATTGACAAGAAATTGTTTGTTAATAAGAAAAAAACAAAAGATCAGAAATGTTATGAAACTAGTCTGTACTTACAATGCATTGATTTGTAAACGAAATACAGGTAAAGACAATTTAGAATCAGCAGAAAAAGAAGTAGATTTGAATGGGTTAACAGAAGACAAATCAGATTTAAATGAACAGTGTAACAAAGTAACAGAGAGAACATTGTTAGAAAAAGTCTGTGAATTAGAGGATAGAGTTGAATTAAGAAATGATTTTAGTTGCCAGTTTACAAATGAAGTAAAGCAAGTGTGTGTTAATACCAGAAAAATACAGGCACAGAATCTAATCCCAGAACTAACAGATACTGAAAATGTATCCTCACAGAGTGATTTGCAGAAATGTAAATTTCAAGACAGAGCTGCAAAACTTAATTTGAAAATCCATGAACAATTAATGAAAATTGTGAAATGTATTCCAGTTTATGACACGTCAGTGGATGCATTTACTAATGCTGAAATGTTTGAGTCTAATTTAGACAAATACAGCCTAAATGACGAACAAAGGAATAGACTATTTCAAATATGGCTGCCGACTCAAATGGCATGTAGACTGACCGCGCCCCTAAGATTTCAGGACAATGATGAAATAATATATGGAAATAAGCAAGACAGATTAACACAATTAATAAAATTAACAACAGGGAATGATTTTGCAGACACTGAAATGTTGGAAAAACTAAAACCACACAAAGGGGAGGATATATTTAGTTTTCTTGCAAAATTTGAAAGTGCATATAGACTTGTTGGTGATTTTTCTGAAGATCAGTTAATTAATGAATTTGTGAAAAAATTTCAAGATCTAGATCCAACTGCAATTGTGTTAGCTAGAGAAAAAAGCACTTTGACAGAGGTAGCTTTGTTCTTGGATAACTTAAGGAGAGTAACCAATAATGAAGGGGTTAAAATGACTTGTGGATTTAGGCAGAGAAAGAAGTGCAGATTTTACAGCCCTCGTCCCCCTTCTTCTTCTTCTTCTTCTCGGACAGAGTGTAGAGTGATACAGACAGCTGAGCCCCTCCCAATTTATTCAACTAAAAACTGTAGAGTTTATCAAAGACAGAATATAACTCCTAAAGTTATTTGTTTTTGGTGCAATAAACAACATTATTTAAGATCTTGCAGATATTTTATCCGAGATATCAAATCAAAAGCAAATGAGAAATTAAATATGTTGATTAAAAATTTTGACAGAGAAAATGGAGATAAATCAATTAAAGCCTTTCCTTGTAAACTGATAATCAGACAAATAAAAGCAATTTTAGCTAAATCGAAATTAGGAGACAGACAAGCAATGCAGTGTAACACAGAAAGTTATAAGGATCTAACTTCAAGAGATATGATCAGTTTAGGGAATGAGCATGGATATGTGTGCCAACAGATGTACACAGGCTGATTCCAGAATTAAGAACAGCCAAGAATAGAGTTCTATGTTAGTTTGTTTTAATGAATTATTAGTCTGTACTGTCTTTCATTGTTTTTATGTGTGTTATAAGAAAGTATTAGGTTAACTAATTAAAGTAAAAATTTACATCAAGTTTGCAAATATGGCAGAATGAAATACACTAATGTAGCAGTTAGGAACATGCAATGTATGTTATATTGGGTGTATGCGATTATACAGTAACTCCAATCATTTTACAGAAGAAAAAACAATGTTGTTACTTCTGAGGTTGATTTAAAATCTTTGATTTAATTCATGAGAATGAGATTTTAATGTCATGACTGATAATGGATTACTATATTTTGCAAAGCCTGGACATACATATGTTTTGATTATTTAGAAGACAAAAGTTTTGATAGAATAAAACCTAGATTTACAAATACATTTGATGAAGGAAACAATATATGTTTTTTGTAGTTTGTTTCATGTGACAAAATGGTGACAGTGTTAAGACAAAATGGCTACTATTGCTAACGTATAGTGGAAAACAATATTTAGTTGTAACATCTGACATGTGATTAGGTTATACCTCCAGATTATTAAACAGTTTAAAAGGGGGGTATGAGTAATAAAAAGTTTGAGAATTGAGAATTTACATGTTCAGAAAGATTTTAATATAAGGAAATTTAAAGATTATACATCACATCGCATAAATGTAATGACCACTAGATGGTAGATCTCATGAGAAGATATGAGTATGTTTTGTGTAGTCAATATGATTCAATGTTAAACTGTGTAATAATAATGAGATATAAACATTGTAAGCCATTGTATTGATGCTGCACATGTTATTTGTTTTAATGTAGGTAAAGCATGACAGATCCATGTGGCAATAAATCAGGAAAGCATTCCTTCAGATAACTGGACATCGACTGTTGGAAAGAGACTTTTCATCTGATCTGCAAACTGTGATGGAAGATTCTACAGAGTTCATTCGATACAGAAGATTAACAGACTTACAAAGAAATAAAAGATTGGCACTAACATACATATATATTCCTAAATATTAATGAAGAAAACAGACAATGAAAAGTTATTTAACAGTTATGAGTATTAATACCAAGAGAGACTACTTATAGCTATATAACACATGGAGTAAAATTACGAAAGGATAGTATTATGGAGAGAACTATTACATTATGACCTATACATAGAATGAGAAGTATCAGAGGTAGATAAAATATGAAGTCGATAAAATAAGGATCATGGTTACTTAATATCACAAAGATTGAGTTCAATAGTATTTCATAGATTAACTATAATGAGTAATTTGTTTATAATCGAGGTGAAGTAAAACAAACTATGGTAACATAAGGAAGAAAACTAAGGAAGGATAATTTATATTGATTAATATTAAGTAATTATATACATTAAGAAAGCCTTGGATATAAGAGTTCAGAGATCCAAGAGGAATTGAATTGAATTGAAAGAGTATAGTACACAATTATATTTGACCTAAGTCTATAAAAGGTATGGACTAGGGAGAATAGGTTTCTGGATATGACGGTATCCAATGAATTGAATAAGTTGTTAAGTTGTTTTAAGATTTCCCTGAGTTTGTTAGACACAGACTAGGAATAAGAGTTTCTGGGCAGTATGACCCCAAGTTTATTTTATTTTATTTTATTTTAGTCAGTTGAAGTGTACTAAGGAATATGGATTGGTCAGAACATTAGGACAATCCTGATTTTAAGATGTATTACATTAATAAGTCATCACAATTAAGGTCTAATGAGGAGAGTGATGATAATTAATTTAAAGTATTCTTTCCAAGTTCTTTTAAAGTAAACCATTCTCCGATTGAATGTAAAGTTTGTTACAACAAGGTGGAATCTTAGTGAAAATTAGAATTATGTAAACAAAAACAAATCTATGATAGAAAGATTTCTGGGTGGAGAATATCTAGGACAATACGTATTGTCAACACCATGAACATTATTTGAAGAATTATTATAGAACTTCATGGTTGATAACACATCCTTTGAATGAGACTTATAAGTAGTGTTGATATATTTCAGGTAGTGAGAGCCTACTGAATATACAAATTAAATACTATGATTGTAAAGTACTGATACAATCATCACTAGATGGTATTAATGGTATAGGAAGGTAATTCATGAATACAAATGACCTAAAGATTTTAAGTTACTAGAAAACAGATGATTCATGGAAATCTAATTGGACGGGATATTATAGTAATACATGTATTAGTACTTAAGTAATATCAGGTATTGAGAATTAAAATACTTTGTTATATGTGTCTTTATTAGGAATATGATAGTGATACACAGTTATTATTTAGAAAGTTACGATCTTGATTTTGTTATCTACAAAGATACGATTGTACCTGAGCAGGCAGATCTTTCTGATTGCTTTATTGTTTATTGGATCAACATTTGTAAATATTTTATTTTATTCATTTATTATTGTTATATATATGTATATATTATGTTCAAGTAGTTATGATGTAATATGGATATGGATATCAATACATAGCTGAAACAAAGGGAGTTTGAAGTAAAGTAAGCAGTATGAGGGATAGAAACTCGACCTTCTAAGAACTCTCATATAATAGAAAGTTGTGACTACATCTTGTTCTATGCTCAATGAATGTGATACAAGTGATGTATGAATGGACAGGTTAGTGACATTGTGTTATGGTTTTAAAACAAACCATAAACAGAGGGAATGTAGAATATTGCATATTCTATGTTTCTATTT